ATGCAGCAGAGTTCAGATGAGTGATAAAATACCCACAACTTGCCTCATCAGTCGTCCCAGAGGGGGCCTTTGAGCAATCCAAGACCTTTTCTGGGGCCCCTGTGGGTTAGGAGAATAACAAGATATTTGACTTGAGAGACGTGATCAACCAAGAGCAGGCTCATTGAAGTAATGGTTGACAGCCTAGTTCTGAACCCTGACTCTGTCATTAATCAACCATGTGACTTTGAGGAAGTGACAATCTCTCATAGCCTGCCTGTCTGTCAGTAGAATTGATACTCTTACCTACCTCATGGGTTGTTAGGAGGGTCACAAAATGTGTAAGAGATGAAACTCAAACAGTGTAAGCTCTCCCTATTTAAGGGGCTTACAGAGTACCCAGTATATAGTACCTCTAAAAACATCATCTTTATCATTATTAACTGTCAAGGCCTTGCTGGGGTTACTCTTAACACTGGCCTGATACTTGTAAGTGCTTCTGGAATAAATCTCTTCAAGGTTACTTGTTCAGCATTTCCACTGGAAGCTTTTCTGTGGTCATCTGCCCTTGTGGCTCTTCATTAGGACTGTTTACCTGTCTAGCGGACAGCCAAGTGTAAGGTATTCATTCATTCTGTTCTCATTGGTTTAGTGGCATAGAGGTTTTATTGTGGGTTTTTGCTTTGGTTATTTTATTTTATTTATTTATTTTTTTTATTCATTGTTTTTGGACAAGGTTTCCCTAGTCACAGTCTGCCTGGAAGTCATGATGTGAACCAGGGTGGCCTCAATCTCACAGAGATCCACCTGCCTCAGCCTCCCAGGGGCTGAGATTAAAGGCACACACCACCATGCCCAGGATTACCTTGGTTATTTTAATTATTTGTTACTTATTTATTTGCTTTTATAGAGCTTTAAAAATAGTTGTTTCTAGCCCAAATGTGGCTCTGACCTTTGAAAACACCCCTCGTCTTCCTTTAGACTTGGGAGACTCCTACAGTTTTATCACCAAAAAAATATATTTTACATTCTTATCCAATTAGTAACTCCTAATTATGCACATGTAGCTTTTTCTTGGCAAACTTTAAAGCTCAACCTCATTAATTCTATCACTTAGCAGACGTATAAGCAACTAGCTTCTACAGTTTGCTTGAAAAATGTAAACCTATTAATTTTAGCTTAAGTAAGGTGGAATTAAGAATGTAAATATGCCATTTAAACAAGTCTATAACATGGTTCAACATTCAGTGGAAATAACTTATTAGTCATTTAATCAGCGTAAGCATCCCTTGATAAATGATTCAGGCCTGCTGGCATAAACCAAACGACTTTGGCCCTTTCGTAATGTATGTTATACAAAAAGCATGCAAATAGTATACTACAATAGAAAATAGAGGTAAAATGAGAGAGAAAAAGAGTTCAGTCATCATAGATGGGAACTGATGTGGCCGTAAGGTTGACAGAGGAGAGATGGAGGGCAGCAAATGGCCATTGCTGGGATTTTATAGGTAAATCAATAGGATTGGAAAGGAGACACGAAGAAGAAAATTTTAAATGGAACTGAGGTCAACTGAAAGGTCAAAGAAAATAACAAAGAGGAAGGGTAAATTTATATGGGAAGCTATGCACTTGATTTGATGATATTGAAGTTAATGTATATAATTCTTGATGTCAACCTTGTAGTAGAAAATGATGGACAGGTACTAAGACCAATCAGAGACTAAGACAAAGGCTTAGAAATCATCCATACCCAGGTTTCATTCTTGTCAACAGTGAGACCAGGCTACATGGAGCAGTCAGGGAAACTTGATGGACATGAAGCCTACCTGGCATAAGTATCTCTAAAAACTTTAAAATGTAAATATTACGTCACATTGTGTATGTGGTGGTGTGGAATTGAACCAGAGCCTTGTACATGATAAGCAAGCACCCTACCACTGAGCTATATCCTCAGCCCAAGCTAACATTTTTAAATCAGGAAATTTTAATCAAAATATTGATTTCTGGCTTGCATTTAAAAAAAAATCAAAAGATGTGACTAACCATGAACTCACATTGCCACATGACAACAGCAGCTGGCACTGATCATAGCCTGGCAGTGATCAGAGCCTGTCTGCTTGAGACTGTGGATGAATTCTCCAGTTTGCTACAGTCCCCACCATACTCTGTCATTTCCCCAATGTGCTAAGATTAAAAGTCCATTGCTGAATCTATTGAGACGTAAAGTAGATCCATGGTTGCCGAGAACTGAGGGCAGGTGTAGAAAGAATGCAGGAGGCTGATGGCTCAGAGAAGTGAAATTTCTTTGGGGCAGATGAAATGTTCTAAAGTGATTGTGGTGATTGAGTAAAAGCCCTTCAATGGTACATTTTAAATGGGTAAATGGTATGAATTATCTCAGTAAAGACATTTTAAAATGCAAATGAGTTGCTATTATCCTTGCAGGATAGGTTTCCTTGTGTGTGTGTGTGTGTGTGTGTGTGTGTGTCAAAAACAGTCATTATGGAAATCAGTGTGGAGTTTCCTCTAAAAACTAAAATTAGATCTCCCATATGACCCAACTAGACCATTCCTACATATTTACCCAAAGGACTCCAAGTCAACATGTCACAGAGACACTTGCACATCAAACTTTATCACAGTACTATTTGCAGTTGTATGTTTTAGACTCAACCTGGGTGTCTGTTAACAGGGAAATGGATAAAGAAAATGTGGTATGCATACACATGGAATTTTTTTCTGCTATAAACAAGAATAAAGTTATATCATTTTCAGGAAAATGGATGTAATTGCAGATATTCATATTAAGCAAACTGAGTCTTCAAAAGGCAGATACTACACATTTTCTCTCATTTGAAGTTCTTAGATTTTTCATAGATACATAAAGTCATATATGTACGTATGACATGAAAGTAGAAACAAAACAGTGAAGGAAAAGTGACTAGCAGAAGTGTGGAGGGAAAAAGAAGAGGGTGGAGAAGTATGGGGGAATATGTTCAAATTACATTATACACTTATAGGAAAATACTGCTGTGTGCAAAGAATATGCACCACTGCTGGCGGGAGTGGACAGCAAAGGGCAGATTGGGAAGGAGTATATGTCAAGAAAATTGGAAACAAATTCATCTCTGAGGTAATAAAGAATTTCTACTTATAAACTGACAAATACTTAGTCTCTTACTAATAAGCATTCATTTCATAGCCATTCTTATTCAGTGACTCCTCAGCATTTTAGATAGGGGGAAAAAATGGATCATGCCCAGTTCCCTAGGATCTACCCCAGCTAAGAAGAGAGGGAGATGAAAGACAGAAAGGGGAAGAAGGAGACTGGGTGGTAAAAAATCAACAGAGAAGTCGAGAAGGCCAGAGACTGGAAGGCCAGGAGGGGCAGCTTGAGCAACTGCTGACAAGAGGTCAAGGAAGTTGAGAACAGAGAAGTCAAGAGGTCACAGTAAGCCATTCAGTAAGGGAGCTTAGATGAGGTCAGGGGAAGAGGTAGAGGCAGAAGATGAAGCCCCCAGAACACACTGTTTAAGCATTAACATCTTATCCTTGGGCATGGGGCACTACTAGGGATTGAAATTAGGGGAAGTGGGATAATCAGATCCCCAGAGGCTAGATTATTATTTTTTTGTACATGTGTTGAATTGTGTATACAATGAACCAAGGTTACTCTAAATTTTATTCTTTTCAATACTAAATTGTCCTTCAAGTTGAAATTCCCAGCCTTATTGATGCCCCAGTTACTGATTTTTACATAATTCATTTCTGCTTGAACCAGAAAAAAAAAATATGACTGTTAGTATCTAACCTCAGGGCTCTAACACTATTGTATTTGGGGATGGATAAATCTTTGTCATGGGCCTATTCTATATATTATAGGATATATAGCAGTATCACCAGCCTCTACCTTCTAGACATCAGTAGCCCTCCCACTAGACATTAGCCAACAAAATCACCTCCAGCTGTGAGCCACTGAACAACATTTATCTTTTGTAGCATTTGGACTCAAGAACTTTAGGTTATGGGCAGCTGGTACCACCTTAAAGTGTGTCTGGCCTGGAGAAGAAGACCAGTTCCTTTTCCACTCTGAGGAGATAATGCTGTGATGGGGCAATGAATGAGAGGCTAAAAGCCTCATTTTGTTTTAGCTAATTTAGCAAACCCCTATGTTGTTGAAAAGAGATGGTATCTCAATGATGTGAGGTAAAAATGTATTCCTGCCATGGCCTGGAGTCAAAGTAGGCACAAGAGCAGGGAGGAAACCTCAGGATGCCAAACAGTAGTAGGAGCTTGAGTCCCAGTGGCAGGAGTTGGCAGCTTGACTCTAAGGAGAAAGGAGGCTGGAAGCAGGAATGGTTTTCTCCTAGAGGCATTAAGGGGATCGGTGAAACTTTGGAAATCTAAGGTAGCTGCCAATGTGTCATTTGGAGTGCCCTGGGAATTCACATGAAGTTCACTTCAGATCCACCTCCTTAAGTCTTAGAAGATAAAGGTATGATTCTCTTGGAATAGGACTAGATCTGAAATGTTGAGACACTGCAGACTCCCCTTCTGGGTGTGGATGTATACAGTGGGGGTGGGGGCTCAAAGGAATTTTATATGTATATGCTACAAGTTTTTTATGTTGATAAGGAAAATTGAGTTAAGACTTATCAGTCTAAAAACATCTAACAATTTTATTAAACCAAGACTTTCATAAATGTAATATTATGCCTTTTTGCTATGAATGTAGAGAGGTTTGTTTTTTTGTTACCAGTGCCTCTGAATTGCCTTATAATACATCTTGTTAACGTATAACATCCATTGTTAGCCCAGTGGTGGTCACCTTCCTTGAGAACTAGATCTTATTTTTAGCCTCCCATCCCTTAATACACACCCTCCTCTAATTATTCTTCTTTTGTGGGGAGGGATTAAGCCTTGAGTACTCTATGAGCCTCAGTGATCACTGGGCATTGTTATGTCAAATGCCATGTAAGGGAAGTCATCCATAAACCCGGTTTTGCTCTGTCTCTTTTCAGGTACTTCTGGATCCAGTTGTGTGGTAGCCGCACTAGGAAACACATGGAGTCACAGTGTGAACACCCGCCTAATTCTCCGATATCTTGATTCAGATAGAAGGCAGGTGAGTGCTCTGACAGAGTTCTCCAAGCTTGGTCAGAGAAGAAGATGAATCTAGAAACCAGAGCATCTTCTGGATATGTATGCCATCTTGTCTGTCCTGGTCCAGCACTGACTGGCAAGTGGAGGATAAAGAAAGCTTTCTTGTCCCAACAGCATCTAAAATAAAGTGGGATGGGGCGCTAGCCACATAGGAAAACAGTGTAAGAATAGATCCTGCCAGTTAGCATCCCCTTGGTATTTGTGAAGGACCAAGGAACATACTTTGAGGGATTTAAAATTCTCCATCACCAAATGGTTATTTACTAGATATTTGCTAGAGACTACCTAATCTGTGAACAAGTTAAATATTTGTCATGTTTTTCTTAGCATATGTGTACTTTCAAACCCTTAGGAAAGATATCTCCTGCTAAGTGCATAAACCCAGTTTCTGGGTAGTTTTACCTTGCCACGTTTAATGCTAACAGTTTAAAGTACTAAATGACATCAGAGAGACCTCTGAAAGGGTGATGGCTTTCTCAGAGCTCCCTACTTGGGTTTCCACTCTGGCCTCAAGGGAGAATCCCTCCATTCAGAAACAGATGCTGTCCACCCCTTCTAATCTTTCCTTCCAACTCCAGAGAAGGGGACCCCATAGTCAGATCTCTTTTAGAATCAGGAAATTAATTTTCCCTGATGTCCTCCCTCAGCTTCATCCTACTGTGCAACCAGACTGAATTATCACTTTTCCTGCAAGCAGGAAAAGGAAAAGACAGGGTGAATATCCTAATATTTTCAATGAGGCAGAATTCAGAAGCCAGATTTTCCCATCAGGCTAAATACATGGCAAATCCAGGTTAATAATGAAAGAGGCATGAACAGCCATGCTGGTTCTTTGAGACAGAGATGGCGCAGGATGGGTTGCCTTTACCTGCAGTAGGTAAATTGGCTTTTTTTTCTGGCAGGCAGGAATCATCAGATACAGATATGATGAGTCTTTGCCTTTTCCAGACATAACTTTATGAATGTCCTTGGTTACAGACCAGAGGATTTTTCTTGGTTTTCTTGAGCCTGTGTAAATAACATTCCCGCTTGGTCATTAGGTCAGCCCTGTTCTGAGATGATAAAGCAGTTTATTTCCATCCAAGGAAGCATTCTTGTGTTTTCAGGTCCTGGCATGTCTGTGACCTCAGGGACACCTTTTCCCTGATGATGTTGATATCCTGGGTTCTGAGTCCAGTACTTCTTTTCTAGATGGAACACATCCAAAAGATTCCTGGAGACCTAATGACCTTTGGTGTTCCCCCTAAATGGTAAATCATGGTGAATAAACATTGTTTGCAGCTATGGAGAGAGCACTGAGGATTATCAAGCACTCTTGTCTGAACTCTATCAAAGTATGCAAAATTCTTTGTGAATCAGTGCTGATTACTTTACTTCATGGACCTAGGTCCTGCTTGAAAACCCATCGTTAATGCTTTAGATTTTAGATGTCGTTTTTACTGTAATATACTGATTTTTGTGTTTTGGTCTCTTACATATATCATGGATTCCAGGTTCCCAAATCCCAATTTTACTAGTTCTAGTTAGAATTTATATATACATAAAGTTAAAGTCACATTTTCTTCTCCTTGTAATAATAATATATCTAGTCATGTCCATTTTGTCAGTCAACAGGAAGTACTTGATAGAATAAATGCTATTTTGTATCTCTTTGGTGACTGGAGGATTTGGGTGGCTCTTGGCTGATAGGGTCAAATGCAGGCCACTGGTCACAAGAAGAACGAGGAACAGAATTGGATGGATCAGTGACAGTCTATCAACTCATATCCTATTAGATGGGTCATTGGTAAGATCTTAATCTACAAAGGAAAACTTGTTTGTTCTCATTATTAATCAATCAGGAACAGACTTAAATGCCTTTGAATCTTGTTTTCAAACAATAGTAACTAATGTAAAATATGACTAGTCTAACAATGGCCAATCCAGAGAAAAGAACATGCAGTTAATTTCTCTATAGAAATAAGTGGTTAAGGGGCCAGAGAGATGGCTCAGCGGCTAAGAACACTGGCTGTTCTTGCAGAAGACCCGGGTTCGAATCCCAGCACCACATGGCAGCTAACAACTGTCCATAACTCCACTTCCAGAGGATCAAACAGCCTCTTCTGTCCTCCACAGGCATTCATGGCACAACACAGGTGCACTTACCTACATGAAGGCAATACATGTGTACACATAAAATGAAAATAATAAATTTAAAAATATTAGAAATAAGTGGTTAAATGTGTGACCTGATACCTAGGATAAAGTTCAATTTAGAAAACATGTCTCAATCTGATGATCTTATCTGCATCTGCAGTTGGCGTGCACAGTGATTCACTGAGTCTTTCCTGTGGTCTTAGTTCATGACAAAGTGTAGAAGCTGTATGAAGATAAGCCTCTTTGGTGCTTTGTACACAAAACATTACTTTAAAGGTAGCCTAGAAATACTTTCTTATAGCACTGCTCAGTAGGAGAGCATGTAGGGTCATTCTAGAATAGCCATACCTGTGGAATACCAGCCATTTGAAGAAGATACCAGGTATAGTTTTTGTTTCTTCTTTTTTGTTTTGTTTTGTTTTCAATCTGCAAGCAGAGACCACTACACCAACAAATCAAAGTTGTAGAATAAGGATTATGTTTTATCCTGCATCTATGACGTTGAGCTCTACAGCAGAGCTCTTAGTGTGAACCTTAGTGTGCGATCACAGGGCAGGAAGGGGGTCAGGTCAAGCTAATTAGCCAAAAAGCCAAATTGTACTGTTCAAAGGAAGGAATCCTCCCTGGCTTATTATTTTCTTTATGCTCTGGAAACTTTGGAAAATTATATAACTAAGAAAGAAATCTCCTTATCAGGGCAAAAGCCAAGTTAAATCTCTTGTTTATTCGTTTCAGTGTTTGCAAAAACCCTCTTAAGAAGTCAAGATACGTTGTCTTTTGGACTAATTTTGGTGGTTGTGTTTTCCTTGACTTTTACTTACTCCTTTTCTGTTCTGCTTCAGTCCTGTTCACCCATTTTGCAACATCTTTACTCTTACCAAAGATACATCTTTAGAGTAGAATTAAGATGGCCTCCACTTGGTTTATTGTTGTCCTTGTCAATTTAAATCATCGAAATTATGTCTGAGTCCACCATACATGTGGCATGGGGATGCCAGGAAGGAGGAAACATAGCTCCTGCTCTTGGGTACCTTCCTGTCAAGGGTGGAAGATTTCATAGGCATACATATATACACTCATGAATAATCAAAAGGGAGTCAGAATAAGGAGTACTGAGGTGCCATCACAGGCAGTGCTTGACTTACTACTGGATGAATGTTTAAAATAGTAGCTTCTGTGAATCCAAAGAAATGTGAAATCATCAGGGGCATACTGAAAAGACACCAGGAAAGGGGTGGACCCCAAATAGCACCTTAAACCAGCAGTTCTCAAGTCTAGCTGCACTGCAAATTCAGCATGAAAACTTTCACAAAATACTAATGCCAGAGCTCCAACTTAAGTAACTAAAGCAAAATCTCTACCAGAGAAGGGGCAGTGTCAGAGCAGACCCAGACATCAGCATTCATTTCATCTGTAGCACTTATCCAAGAGGTTGTAGTGAACCACCAAGGTCGAGAGTCTCTGCCTTAATATAGGTAACATTAGAATAGTTATAAGGGGGGAAATGTTGGTATGGTACCCTGCACAAAAGAAAAGCCGAAGAATGGTACAGGCTGGACTCTGCCTTGTAACTGAGCAGAAGGTTCCTCCATGCATTCATTTGGTGAGCCTTTTGTCTGTTAGTTACTTTGTAAGGTACTAGAGTCAAAGAATGAAGAGTGGTTGCTGATACCTTCTAGTTTCTTAGTCTACATGGGGAAACGAACATGTGAGCAGTATGTTCAGCAAAAGCATCATGAATTAGTAAATGTAGGAGGTGGTGGAAGGCCCCATTACTGAGAAAGGTTCTGGAATGATTAATGAGACAGCAACAGACGCAGTGTACTGGCCAAAAGCAGTGTTCAGGAAGCTTTTGCAATACTACATGCCTTGTAGTGAAGACTGGAAAAACTGGAGTGTGGGTGGTTATACTTGAAAATGATGCAAAAATCTGATGAAACAGACAGAATATTTCTCATCAAATTCTCATGAAGTCTGTTCGTACAAACCATATATGGCATTATATAAATTTTGAAGTGCCCTAGAAGGTATAATGAAATAAATTAATCCTGACTAAGCCTCACACCCTCTTGCTGAAATAAATAATATGACTCTTATTTCAACAGATTGAAAAGAGGTGACTTTTTCATATAGGAGGTTTATTTGAATGGACTTTACAGTCATATTTTCATCCTCTATTTAGGAGGCACCTTAAAGTTATTGAACACTTCAAGGATGAACCAATATACTGTTGACAGGGCCAACACTGTTACTCAAGTACTGATCCTTGTTGGGATCCACAGGCTTTTCCCAGAGCCCTGGGTTGTTTGGGATCTTGGAAGTGTCCTTTGTTTCCTTTCTGATGATAGAATTCTCTGAGAATTCATTTTGCATTTTTCAAAGACTCAGACATCATCTCTGTGAAGACACTAGCTTCATCAACCTCCTCTCTGGATCACAGTTGTACCTGGCATTTATGTCTTTTTGTACTTTTAAGCCCTGAATTATGAGCCTATTGAGGCTATAGTCTCAGAGTTAAAGACAGTGCTTGATACACATGCAATAACTTCTACTGAAAGACAGAGAAAAACAAATTCTTCTCAGTATGCTAAAGCAGGAAGATGGCAAGTTCAAGGTCAACTTGGGCTAATACTGAGCCCCTCTCCCAAAACAAGCAATCAAAAAGAAACATTCTTTTATCAGTACATGAATCCAGTCTTGAATCATTCTTCCCCATATTGAACTTTACAGTTTAATAGTTCCTTAAAGCATTAGTAGTCAGCTAAAAAGGCTCCCATCAAACCTCGACAATTACTAGCAGTTATTTGTATAACAATATAATAGGAA